ATTTATGTGTTTTAAATTTATTTAAATCGCATAATTTTTTTGTTTTCCGCTGTGTACACGTGTCCGATTCCCAACTCTTAGTGTATGTGTGATGTGTCTCATCAGTAAACGGTATTGTGATATCGGCATGCATAAGTGGGTGCTCGTAAGTTGACGAGTTCACTGAACTCTCTCACCCTAGAAATCTCTAAGTGGTTTTCAATAGTCGAGTAGAGATCTCTATGGTATAGTTGTACACCATTAGTCCTTAAGACCTAGCATCACCGTGACTTCACTAGAAGACCAACTGTATCGTGACCTGTCCCGGAGATCCACCGAGGACCGCCCCAAGGGAAAGTGTTCGTGCAGTCCGAAATCTAGTGGGAGGTCTGTGCATTGTAGTTGGAGATTCGATCGCTTGAGTAGTCATGGATATCCTGTGTGTTCTCATAGTTTGTAATCTTTAAGTCTCTAGCCAGAGCTGACTAAGTGATGATTAGATAATTCGATTCTCTAAGCATGCACGTACCGATTACAACACTTATAACGATTGCACAATTATTGAACTACAAAAGAGGTCTCGATGAACCAATGCCTCTAGTTCAATCGGGACATATGAATCGAAGGGATCGTACTGTACGTTAACTATATCATAAGGTTCTTGCAGGCATTTCATTTGTATTTAGGGAATCATGACGCGTAGTTGCTAGATGTCAATCTTGATTCGTTGGGTGATTAAGTTGAAATGAGATTTATCTTAATTGTAACTCTAGGGACGAGTTTAAACCACAAAGAGTTGTGGACCCACGGCTAGATTACACCTGAACCATCGAGAGAAACACTACTCGTGCACTCAAGTTCTTTGAATAAACGGTCAAAGGTAAAAATGTTTAATCTTTGCATAACTGGAAGTCGATATGATTGAGTCCAACATTTGTAATTTGGAATTATGAATGAGAATAAGAAAAGGAAAAGAACTAGGCGAACATGTTAGTGAACTTTCTAAATTGAGAAGTTTCCAAATTTAAAAGGTCCATTGAATTAGGGTTTCCACTTTTAGAAATTGGAAATTGAGAATTGGCATTCGTAATGACGAGGACGTTTTAATGATTCCGAAAATATAATCGTTATGATTTTCCAATCATTAAGTTATGAGAAACGAGCATATAAAGACTAACGAACTTAAGTTGTTGGGCCCGGTCCAACTTAACCCCGTTAGGGCTTTTATACAAGACACTACAAAGACAAGATTTGTAGGTCTTGCACAAACACAATAACATGCACCACAAACCCTAGCCGCTCGTTCGTCAAGTCCACGACCATCCTCCACCGGCAGAATCGGTGCCCACGCGCCGATTATCTTCGGTAGTTTGATACCTTTTTTATTTATTCTTCCGTTAATTCTAACTTTTGCGTGTCTAGTGCCACGTATTCAGTAGAACTTGGTATATGAGGTGAAATCCGAGAGGAGGAAGACAAAGGATTCTATCTGCCGATATGCCGCCGCGAACCACTGACGCACGCGCCCTCACGCGCCGCCCGAAGACAGCGCGTGAACTTCACGCGCCGCCGCTGATCCGCGCGTCCGCAACCGCTGCTTCGCCGCCGCTCCTCCCGATTGCACGGATTGGTTTCCGTGGCAGTTTGCTTCAATCCGAGAGTTCTCCTAACGCTTCAAGAGGTAACTTTTCGGATCCATTAAGTACTAGGTTTTAATTTAATTAGATTAAATTAAACATCGTATGTTTTTATGAAATTGGTTTTTTATGTTTTTGCTTGATCATTTTTCATGAAAATATATGTATGAATATTATGATTCATTGCGAGCATGCTATATGTTTTAATTAACGAATTATATATGTATGTTGTAATTTAAATTTCGCTGGAAGCGTTAAGGTACGTAATTAATTGCTTATATCGAGTACGTGTTTATATGAATGAAATCCTTTTTCATTTATTTTTTTTGGTTTTTCGATGCGTACACATGCCCAATTCCCAACACGTTTCACACGGTCGTGCGAGTTTTTGAACTATTTTCGCACGGCCGTGCCAAAACACGGGTTTTAGAATCTCTTTTGAACAGGCACGGCCGTCCGGATAAAAGTACTGATTTTTGGACGGCCGTGCGAAATGCTAATTTTGGGCAGAGTAGTTGTTCCTGCTTTCCACACGGCCTTGTGAGATTATAGCTCAATTTTAGCGCGGCCATGCGAAAAGTGAAAATTGGGCAATAGCTTCCCAGATTTTCCAGACGGCCGTACGAGTTTCCAGTTCAATTATCATGCGGCCGTGTGAATTGCAAAAATTATACAGTAGCTTTTTCTACTTTCCACACGGCCGTGTGAGATTAAAGGTCAATTTTGGGACGGCCGTGTGGTAATCCAAATTGCGTCTTTCCTCCTGAAAATAAAAAAACAATGCTTAGTTCATTAGTTTGCACGCTTCAATAAAAAAAATAAAAAAAAAAAGCAATAAAATCTCGGGTTCATTAGTTCATTCAGCCAGACTTGTCTGCTTCTTTGCTCAAGCTAAAGTGACCGGAGTCACTTGGCGATTGAATTCTCCTCCCCAATAATGCTTGAGGCGCTGCCCATTGACTATGAAAGATTTTATGGTTTCGAAATCCAATAACTCGACTGCGCCATGCGGAAATACTTCGAGTATAGTAAACGGTCCGGACCATCTTGACTTGAGTTTTCCCGGAAATGACTTGAGACGGGCGTTGGAAAGTAGTACCAATTGACCCTTGTGAAATTCGCAATGCAATATTTTATTATCGTGCCATCTCTTAGTTTTTTCTTTGTATACATGATTGCTTTCATAGGCATTCAACCGCAATTCATCGAGCTCGTTGAGTTGCATCATTCGTTTCTCCTTGCATGCCTCAAGATCAAAATTTAGCTTCTTAATCGCCCAAAACGCATTATGCTCCAATTCAACCTGTAGAAGACATGTATATCCATAAATCAATCAAAACGGTGTCATGCCAAGTGGAGTTTTGTAAGTTGTACGATATGCCCAAATTGCATCGTCTGATTTTCTCGACCAATCTTTCCGGGTGGGACTCACAACTTTTTCGAGGATATTTTTTATTTCACGATTTGTAACATCGGCTTGCCCGTTCTTCTGTGGGTGATAGGCCAATGCGACCTTATGCTTTACACCATACTTGGCCAAGAGTGCCTCGAATTGTTTGTTGCAAAAGTGAGTGCCTCCATCACTAATAATTGCTCGCGGTGTTCCAAATCGAGTGAATATATGTCTTTTGCAAGAAAGCACAAACCACGGTAGAATCATTAGTAGGAAAGACGGCTTCCTCAACCCATTTAGATATATAATCGACAGCCACTAAGATGTATAGGTTATTGAATGATGGGACAAAAGGTCCCATAAAATCTGTTCCCCATACATCGAAGGGTTCTACTTCGATCATTGTATTTAATGGGAGTTCGTGCCTCCGAGAAATATTACCTACCCGCTGGCATCTATCGCAACGCGATACAAATTTATAGCAATCATTAAACAGAGTTGGCCAGAAGAAACCTGACTGAAGTACCTTCCTCGTTGTTCGCTCACCTCCATAATGCCCCACATAGTCCGAGCCATGGCAATGAAAAAGTATATCTCTTTGCTCGATTTTCGGTTCACAGATTCGAATGACTAAATCGCTGCATTGTCTAAACAAAAAGGGTTCTTCCCAAAAGTAGAAATCCACATCATTTTAAAAACTTTTTTCGTTGATGAAAAGTGAGCTCAGGTGGAAGTACATGGTTAACTAAATAATTCACAAAATCAGCATACCATGGTACTTCTTGATTATCCACAAAAAGTAATCGTTCATTTGGAAAGTTTTCGTTAATGCAAATTTTATCTTTTAGTTCCGTTTCTAGCCTAGATAAATGATCGACTACTTGGTTCTTGCTACCCTTACGGTCACGAATTTCCAAGTCAAATTCTTGCAGCAGTAAGACCCATCTAATAAGTCTTGGTTTTGCCTCTTTTTTTTCTATCAAATATTTCAAGGCTGAATGATCTGTAAAGACAATGACCTTAATGCCTATGAGATATTATCTAAAATTTTCGAATGCAAAAACAACTGCTAGCAACTCTTTTTCAGTAGTGGTATAGTTCAATTGCGCATCGTTTAGAGTTTTACTAGAGTAGTAAATTGAATGAAAAATTTTACTCTTTCTTTGGCCCAACACTGCACCTACAGCATAATCACTGGCATCACACATAAGTTTAAACGGCTCATTCCAATCAGGTACAACAATAATAGGTGCGGTTACTAACCTTGTTTTCATTTCGTCTAAGGCTTTGAGGCATTCCTCATTTAAGTCAAATCTAACGTCCTTCTCCAACAAATTGCACAATGGTTTGGCAACCTTAGAAAAATCTTTGATGAACCGCCTATAGAAACATGCATGTCCCAAAAAACTACGAATTCCCTTTACTGAAATTGGTAGCGGTAATTTCTCGTTTGTTTCGATTTTGGCTCGATCGACCTCTAAACCTTTCTTTGACACCTGGTGTCCTAGCACAATCACTTCTTGACCATAAAGTGACACTTTTCCCAGTTGAGCACTAAATTTGTCTCTTCACACCTGCGCAGAACCTTAGCCAGTATTTGGAGACAAGTGTCATACGTATCATCGAAAATGGAAAAATCATCCATAAATATCTCGAGACTACATTCAACCATGTCTGTGAAAATTGCCATCATACAACATTGAAAAGGGGCAGGAGCATTGCATAAACCGAAGGGCATATGTCTAAAGGCAAAAGTACCAAAGGGACAAGTAAAAGTGGTTTTGTCTTGGTCCTCGGGAGCTATGGCGATTTGGTTATAACCGGAATACCCATCTAAAAAATAATAAAATTCTTGACAAGCTAGCCTATCAAGCATTTGATCAATAAAAGGGCAAGGGGAGGTGGTCTTTTCGAGTGGCCTTGTTCCATTTTTTATATTCGCCAACCCGTTACTATCCTATAATGGATTAATTCATTTTTTCGTTTTTTTATAAAAGTCACCCCCCCTTCTTAGGTACACATGGTACCGGACTAACCCACGCACTATCGGAGATAGGAAAAATAATACATGCGTCTAACCACTTGATAATTTCATTCTTCACAATTTCCTTCTTGATGGGGTTTAATCGCCTGTGCTGCTCAACTGAAGATTTATGGCCCTCCTCCAAGATGATCTTGTGCATGCAAAAAGTTGGACTAATGCCTTTGATGTCGGAAATTGTCCACCCAAGTGCTAGCTTGTGCTCTCGAAATACATCCAAAAGCCTTTCTTCCTGTAAACCTGTCAAAGACGCAGAAATAATAATGGGTAAGGTATCATGAGCTCCAAGGTACACATATTTTAGATGAGAAGTGATATGATCCTAGCAAGCTCAAAGATGAAGAATTGGAAGAAGCGCAAGCGTACGAGTTTTAAGAGGACATTCGAGTTTTCCTTGGAGAAGAAAGGCTGGAATCAAATGTTTGAGATGTCTATGGTTTGGAATTGGAAGAAAAGAAAGAGAAGAATTCGTTGGACAAGTCGAATTCCATGCATCCGAGATTCTCGCCTATTCTGGCACAGTTTACCGTTCGAGTTATAACTCTCGCATATGAAATCCATTTGAGCTGATTAAAAATGATTCGAAAAGGTAACTGAAAGATATAAAACTTTCATGTTTAGAGAAAAGAGATATTCTAAGTGGAACAGTGTCGAAATTGAGCTTTAATTGCATGCACGTGCACAGCCCAATGTCGCGAGATTAGAAGGGTGATCGAGAAGCCGACTTGAAGATCAAGTTATTTAATTTACTTATTCACGTTTTTAATTTAGGTTTAATTATGTTTTTATTATTTTAGAGTCTTTTATGGTTATGATTTGCTTATTTGTTTATTTCCTTATTATAGTTTAGGTAGGAGTCATTTTCCTTGTGAAAAAGGAGTCTTTTTAGACCTTATAAATAGGTTGCCAATTTGGCTTATTTTAATGGACGAATTTTAATGATTTAATGGAGTTTATTCTCTTTGGTTCTTTAAGAACTGTTCGAACATTTCGGTGGATTCCGTTTGTTCACCCCGACTTATCAATCGATCTTTCGCAATCGATTGTGGCGTCTTCACATACCAAGGTTCTTGCCTCTTTATAGGCAACGGGTCGCGGTTCCACCTTTGATTCCTTCTTTGGACGGTCCAGGATTTGATATCCGAAGTATTGGTATCGGGTCTCGTCACATGGTTGGCGTGGTTCATATCAAGAAGGTAAAACTTTAAGCTCAAGTTTTGGAGGTTCGATCACTGAAGGTTTAAAATTGACAGAGAGTGGGAGTTTCGTCTCCAAACTTTCAAGCCGTGGCTTTGACAAAGGCTTTGCCAAATCCAACCAACATAGTTGTTCAATCAATGTTTCTTCCTCAGTTGATGTTTTTGCAATCAAAGATGCTTCCAACCAATCCACTATTAGCGGTTCAATAAAATCAAAATTCAATTGATCTAACACATCAAACGCCAAACATTCATCAACCTCTCGAGGATGCTTCATTGTATGGAAAACATCAAGTTTAATCGTTTCATCTCCCAAAGACATAGATAAAACACCATTATACATATCAATTATAGTTCTACCCGTTCTCAAAAAATTTCTCCCCAAAATCAAAGGAATTTCTTTATGTTCTTCCATATCAAGATTTACAAAATCTGCAGGAAAGATGAATTCATCTACTTTGAATAACACATCCTCTACTATTCCTTGTGGGTATATGAGTGATCTATCCGCTAACTATAAAGTCACATATACCAATTTTATATCTCCTAATCCCAAACTTTGAAAAACCCAGAAAGGCATGAGATTATTACTAGCTCCTAAATCTATGAGAGATTTTGCAAAGAACTAACCTCCGATCGCAACTGAAATTGTAAACTTACTCGGGTCTCCAAGTTTTGGTGGGATTGTGTGACACCCCCTAGATTATATGTAGCAAACCGAGAGGGTTTGCCGTGCACGGAAGCTTTAGATGTATTATACGGGTAATATATAGGTGTTTTGACTCCGAGACTTGGTGAAGTTTAGTTCGTCTCATGACCTAAGGACTTAGACGGAGTGGACTTGGCAATGTTTTCGACGGAGGTTTAGTGGGTGGAGGAGTGATGGTCTAACTACCCGACTAATCGGTGATATAGACTATGAGTGGTGTCACCTTGAGAAAACATAAGAATAATAGGTTAAAGTCCATAATTAAACAATATATTAGTTTTACATAAGTGGACCATAGTTTAACAAAAAGGGGCCCATCTTCGGAGGAATATGCCTCCTCTACCACGGATAATAATACACATGGGCTACTACGGAAATAGTAATTGTTCTAAGAACAATATACACAAAAGATAGTACTACAAGCATTATAAGTAGATCCTCCATGCGAACCAAAAACCCGGAATCGTCCTCTCGAACCGTCGACTAGTCCAATCCGGTGGAGTGAGTAGTACTAGTACCTGCAAACGGAGAATATCTATATGAGCTAACAAAGCTCAGTAAGGTTATCGAAAGATACCGAAAATTCACATATTGTCATACTACATATACTATATTAGAATAGCACAAGCACAACAATATTTAACACTATTCACATATAGAAACATAAAGAATCTTCGTTTTATCGGATCCGATGAGAAATTAACTTTTGTACTTAGAAAACAAGAAGATTATTCTGAGCCCGTTTTAGTGGAATCAAACCACTCATCTGTAGTATCTATGGTTGGAATACCGGCCCCCCGTATCCATTCTCATTCTTTCTAAGTATTTCATTAATTCCCCAATTTATTTCATTTAATTACAAAATGGCACGGCCGAAGTATTAAGAATTTCGGTTGAGTACATACATTTATCAATATTCCACCATAGCCCATAAGAGATACAAAAGTCACAAAACATCACAAATATCAATCAAGTGACAATTAAACACATATTTCACGAAAGATTAACCATGATTAAATTGTGAATTCACACATATTCATCCAAGAATATAACACACACTTATTAAGGATCAACCTATCTTCTATCTTCCCTTAAGCTACCTAATATCAATTAAAATTCAAGATCAAGGAACCATATTAGGTTTCGGGTTTTCAGCACAATACCCCTGAACTTCTGAAAATTACAGTTCTGCCCCCCAAAGTTCAAGACTCACACATGCAATATACTTTAAAGTTCAAAATCCATACTTTCATGAAAATCGACCCTTAACTTAACTTAAATTTCAGATCAATGCAGAAAACTCAGTTGAAATTGATTTGATGCAAAATTTCCAAAAATTACATAATTCACCCTAACTTCTCTAGATCTATACATGCAAGACCTCTAAAATACACAAATCCCATTTTCTAGTAAAAACCGTTTTAAAAACTGAATATCACTATTTACTAATGCAGAAAAACAATTTTTTTTTTTTTTTTTTTTTTTTTGGAACTCCAATTGAAGCTCGTTTCCTTGAAATTACAGATTTGCCCCAAAATTCTTTTAAATTGCACATGCATCAACACTAACATTTCAAAATCCCAATTTTTTTATGTCCAACCCTTAAAATTCGAAATCTTTACCCAAATTATGCAGAAAATGAAATCAAGATTTTAATCTAGGCAACAACTTTGAAAATTCCATTTTTCACCCCAAGACTTTTAGATCCACACATGCAAAACCACTAAAAGATCAAAAATTACCCTTTTCTTAGAAACTTACTTAATCTGAAATTTTCGTTTAATAAATGCTGAGAAAAAAAAAACAATTTTGAAAACTCAATGAACCTGACTTCTCACAATTTACAGATCTGGCCCGAAAATATGCAGAATTACACATGCAACCCCAAAACTTTTTCCCAATTTAATTTCCTCACAATTTTCGAAATAACTAATATTTTCTTTGGAAGAAATCAACCCAAATCTACCATTTAAGACCTCTGATCATACATGCAATAACATAAATCCTACGGATTAACAACAAGAAACAATTTAAATGCAAGAACAACACAAATAAGAATTAGGGGTGTCTTTTAATTAATTTCGAAGTTTTTCCTTTTTATTACTTGATACCTCCATTTGCAGCAAGGATTTCGATTCCTTACCTCAAAAATAGAAAAGAAATAAAGGCTAGATGAAAAGGGAAAGGTTCTTGGGAGCCTTCAAGGAAAAACCGAAAGTTAGAAAGGGAAAAACGAAGAAGAAGAAGAAGTGGGAGAACTTGAAAATGGCGGAGTCTTACCTTCTTCAAGCTTGCAGATTTAACCAAGCTACCTTAATGTGGAAAGATACCGTGTAGATTTCTAGGTGAGAGGTGTTTTCATTTGTGAAGGGGCACCATGTATTTATAGTATTTTTTGAGTATTCAAGTGCAAGGGTGAGATAGGGAATTCTCATGGTTGGTTTGATAAATATCTTGCTGAGTTTGAAGAGGGGTTCAAGCTTGGTGGTGCCGGTGGAAATGGTGGTTTCGGAGGTGAAGAAAGAAAAGCAAAAATGGAGAGAGAGAGGGGGTATGTTGCAGCCGAAATGGGGAGGGGAGAAGGGACTCTTGGCCTTCTTAAGTGGGCATGCTTGACATGGAGTGTAGGAGTGGTTTAGTAGGGGTTAGGCTAGGCTTTAGGATAATCATTTACTTGATTTCAAAATATTCAATAATCCCCCCCCTAATTACATACACACATATACACGGCACACACATACACATATATATATATCTATTATATATTATGATAATTCCTAATATGCATGCATAATTACCGAAACACATAGGCACATAAGGTCACGTAATAAATTTGATATCTAATAATTCGGATATCAATAATTCACGTATAGCCCAAATTTTATTTTTTGTAAAATCTAGCATTTACGTGACTAGAGGTTTTACGGTTTAGAAATTATCGTGTTTTGAACACGTGGGGTGTTACAATCTTCCCCCCTTTAAAAAATTTTGTCCCCAAAATTTGTTACCTGTCCCGAATAATTCGGGATAGAGACTTCTCATTTCGGATTCGCGTTCCCATGTAGCTTCTTCGGGTGTGTGGTTGAACCACTGCACTTTGACTAGGTGAATCTCGCGGTTTCGGAGCGTCTTGGTTTTGGAGTCGAGGATTCGGAAGGGTTTTTCTTCGTAGGAAAGGTTTGGGTTCAGCTCAATAGGTTCGGCCTTGAGAATATGATCGGGGCTGGGAATGTACTTGCGAAGCATGGAGACGTGGAATACGTTATGGATTCGGGATAGGTTAGGCGGAAGTGCTAGACGGTAAGCGGGACTGCCTATTCTTTCGAGTATTTCGAATGGACCGATATAACGTGGAGATAGCTTGCCTCGGTTTCCGAATCGCAAAATTCCTTTAAAAGGAGCTACCTTTAGAAATACCGATCCTCCGACTTCAAATTCCAAATCTCGCCTTCTATTATTTGCGTAGCTTTGTTGTCGGTTTTGGGCAACTCGTATATTTTCGCGGATGTCTCGAACTAGGTTCACGGTTTGTTGAACTAGGTCGGGCCCGAGAAGTTTTCTCTCTCCAACTTCATCCCAGTAGAGGGGAGATCGGCACTTTCGTCCGTAGAGTGCTTCGTAGGGCGCCATTCCGATTGATGTTTGGAAGCTATTATTATATGCAAATTCGATCAACGGTAGTCGAGATTCCCAGTTGCCTCCAAAGTCGAGTATACAGGCTCGAAGTAGATCCTCAAGGGTTTTAATCGTGCGTTCTGACTGGCCATCGGTTTGGGGATGAAAGGCCGTGCTGAACGATAATTTGGTACCAAGGGTTCCTTGCAAACTTTTCCAGAATCTTGAGGTGAACCGTGGGTCTCGATCTGAAATAATGGTCGTCGGAATTCCGTGGAGCCGAACGATTTCTCGCATATAGAGTTCTGCGAGTTTGTCTAGGCTAAACGTCTTGCGGATCGGAAGAAAATGGGCTGATTTGTTTAACCGGTCGATAATTACCCAAATAGAGTCGGATCCGCGTTGGGTCCTTGGAAACCCTTGAACAAAGTCCATTGTTATTACTTCCCATTTCCATTCGGGAATTGAATTTGGTTGAAGTAATCCTCCGGGTCGTTGGTGTTCGGTCTTGATCTGTTGGCAAGTGAGGCATTGGGCGACGAATCGAGCTATATCTTCTTTCATTCTCGGCCACCAATAAAGTTTCTTCAAGTCTTGGTACATTTTGGTTGATCCGGGGTGGCAAGTATATGTGGTTTGATGTGCCTCGGCTAAAAGGAGTCGTTTGATTTCGGCATCGTCGGGAATGCAGGTGCGGTTGTGGAATTGGAGGAAACCGTCTTTGGAAATTTGAAAATTAGGGTTTGCTTCGAGATTTGTGCGAATTTTCTGAAGTTGGGGGTCCTGCTCTTGAGCTGCCTTCACGCGGTCTCGGAAATCTGATTCAACCACTAGGGCGTTCATTGATTTCCGACTAAGAGCATCTGCCACGACATTCGCCTTCCCAGGGTGATATAGGAATTCGCAGTCATAGTCTTTAACCAGATCGAGCCATCTTCGCTGCCTCATGTTTAATTCCTTCTGTGTGAAGAAATACTTCAGGCTTTTGTGGTCGGTGTAGACGGTGCACTTATCTCCGTATAGGTAGTGGCGCCAGATCTTAAGTGCAAAGACTACTGCTGCGAGCTCCAGATCGTGAGTTGGGTAATTTTTCTCGTATTCCTTGAGCTGGCGGGACGCGTAGGCTATCACTTTTCCGTTTTGCATAAGTACGGCACCTAGTCCGAGTTTGGACGCGTCACTATAAATCACAAAACTTCCGGATCCATCGGGTAATGAGAGAATTGGGGCGGTGGTTAAACGCTTCTTTAGCTCTTGGAAACTAGCCTCACGGTCTGGGGT